TATAAAAGTAGTTTACACAGGAATTTTCCTTTAACAACCTTACTATTTGCACATCTCCCGAAACTATCTCATGGAAAACAGAAATAAATGTATTAAATTGAGACACATTTTGTAAAAATAGGATTCTACTAGCATAATATATACAACTTAACTTGCAAATATTACTAGCAAATAAAGTCAGAGATGAAAAATTTCTGTAAACAAAAAATATTTAATAGTTTATTGTGTTATTTTCTTAAAAATAATTTCCACAAGAAAAACTTACTTTGCTACAAAAGAATGGTAAACGTGGGCTATAATTCAGAATTTCCATTAATTCATGGCCTTCTTTAAACAACTGGTATGAGACACGGTAATCAATAGTTATCAAAATATGGTAATTTTTAATAATTCAATACCTAATTTTCTTTCTTTAAATAGTTTTTATTCACTTCAGAGAGAAAGGGAGAGGGAGAGAGAGAGAAATATCAATGAGAGAGAATCATTAATCAGCTGCCTCTTGCACTCCCCCTACCAGGGTATAGAGCCCACAACCCGGCCATATACCCTGTCCAGGAATTGAACCGTGACCTCCTGGTTCATAGGTTGACACTCAACAACTGAGCTACATTGGACAGGCAATACCTACTTTTCTTAAAATCACTTTACCTATGAGGAGAACCTTTAGGAATACTAAGAAAGTATAAAGTATTTCTTTTATCATTCATTTTTTTCCTTGCTGTAAATGTAAATTTTCACTGTGACTTCGGAATATGTAGAGCACCAATCAGAAAGCAAAATTCAACAAGTCCTATTCTACCTAGAAAAGCAGGGGAATGTGAGAGCTTAATGGTGTCTTGATAATATCTAAACTGAGCCCATTTGTACAAATACTGATATTTGATAACAAAGGTAATTATTGCTGGGAAAGCACAATTCATAAGAAATGTCTTTTATTATATGCAGACAGTGACTAATTCAAAGATTATGAATATGGAGTCACATGTTTTCTATATAGACTGCCTTCATAAGAGTTTCAGCTGGTGTCTTGTATACCATACATCAAAGTTATTAATGTAGTGTCCTTTGAATTTTGTCTCTTTTATGAAAAAGCTAATTAAAAATGTGTAAACAGCTGTGTTTCAAAGGAACTACAAATAAATTTTGTGGTGTCATTACAAGACCATCTTTTCTTGTGAATAACTTAAAAATAATCCTATATAATAAAAGCCTACATGGCATCCTGCAATGCCCTTGCACAATGTCATCACAAGATGGCCACCACGACATCACAAGATGGGCGAGCCGGGCTGAGTTTGCTACTGGCGACTCCCGGTGTGCTGAGAGAGCGGACATCTAACACGTGGCTGGCTTTCTTGTTCGAGAGGAAAACAGAATCACCCTATTGCTCTGATAGATGGCCCCAGTCGTGAGAGGCCAGACTATTATGCAGCAGGAAGAGATCTCTCAGAAGTGTGTGAAGCCAGCAGCCATTACTGCAGGAGCCAACTGGAAAACAAAGCTTGTCTGCACCAACCCAAGACTCTGCCCCATCCAAGCTGAGCACAGAAGCTCTCCCAGAGGCTGGATTTCTCTAAGGAGGGACTGGCCAGAATCCAAAGCTTGTCTGTGGCTTTACAAAAGAGGTGCATGCACTGGCAACCAATCTTGAGAGACTCACAGCGAACAGGACTTTTCTAAGGAGAGACTGACAGGGAACTAAAGATTGTCTGCGCCACCCCAATACTCCGCCCCATCCAAGCAGAGTACAGAAGCCCTCCTAGCTGAGACACTGCTGATCCTCACAGCCAATTGGCTTGGAGATCAACGCTTCCCAGTGATACCAACAATAAGCAAGGCTTAACAACAAGACTGCACACACAGCCCACAAAGGGCTACACCAAGACTGTCCACCGCAGGTAACTGGGAAGGCTGTGTTAGTGGGCTCTACCAGAACACCTAGCACACAAAACTATTCCATCAAATCGGGAAAACAACTAAAATGCAGACAAGAGGCAGGACACAAAGGAAGGAGATCGAGGAAAAGAGAAGAATGGATATTGAGTTCAAAACTACAGTTATAAGGCTTTTCAAGAATATCCTAAAAAAGGCCGATAAAATAAATGAGACCTATGAGGATATGAAAAGGGATCAACTAGAAATAAAAAGTTGAAGATAGTGTAAGAAACCTCTGGGACAATTTCAAGTGAACCAACATCAGAATTATGGGGGTCCCAGAAGAAGAGAGAAAGCAAGATACCAAAAGAATACTGGAAGAAATAGTGACAGAAAACTTCCCCCACCTGGGGAAAGAATTAGACTTACAAGTCCAGGAAGCCCACAGAACCCCAAACAAAAGGAATCCAAGAAGGACCACACCAAGACACACCATAATTAAAATTCCAAGAGCAAAAGACAGAGAAATAAAAAGGGATCAACTAGAAATAAAGAAAACATTGTCTGAAAAAATATATATTACACAGAGTCCTAAAAACAGACTGGAAGATCGCAAGAATCAAGACAAAGATTTAGAACACAAAGAGCCAGAGGACACTCCCCTGCAGCAGCAAGAAGATAAGAGAATCCAGAAAGTTGTATATGTGGGCAAAGAACTCGTTTAGAACAGCTGAAAGAGATTCTCCAAGGAAGTTGTTTGTATATGTGGGCAAAGCTTATACTTGGACAAGAAGGCAGAATATAGGAAACTACATGAAAACATGAATAATTCAGAGAAAATGACTGTAAATAGATGAGAACTCATTTAGAACAGCTGAAAGAGATTCTCCAAGTCAGTTCTTAGTGTAGAAAAGGTAGCTAAGATCCAGGAAATCCTTAATTAGAGTTAAGATCACATGAAACACTGTATGAATCCTATATTGTTTACTTAAAGGAGCCTAGAGTGGTAAATGTGTGTCATACAAGGCAGAATACCATTGAAATAGAGAAAGAAACACGTTCGGCAGCTTTGGAAAGCCTTACACTTCACTGCAATGTAGTACTACACTCTATAACATAGTTGAGAGACAATGTTCCCGAGCTGCTTCTGTTCATAACAGTGTGTAGGAAGTTGTTTGTATATGTGGGCAAAGCTTATACTTGGACAAGAAGGCAGAATATAGGAAACTACATGAAAACATTACCTCTCTGCGCACCGGGATTAAGCCAGCGCCTTTTCGCGTGCACAGTTCTCCGTACCTTCACAGTTTCTGAGGGTCAGCGTGCCTTCGCTCTCCTTCCCAGATGGCAGAGACTCCTCTGAGCTAACCGTCCGGAGCTTCAGGGAAATGCCTCCCCTGTTTTCCAGTTCTAAATTCAAATTTGTTGTGGTAGGCTGCATTCGGGTGTCTACCCTATGCCGCCATCTTGGTTTCTCTGAGGTATCTTATTTTCTAAATTAGAGGCCTGGTGTACAAAATTCATGCACAGGGTGGGGTGTCCCTCAGCCCGACCTGCACCCTCTCTAATCTAGGTCCCCTTGGGAGATGTCTGACTGCCTGTTTAAGCCCCGGGCCCAGTCCTAAGCTGGCAGTTGGATATTAGAGAATATTAAAAGCAGCAAGAGAAAAGCAGGTAGTTACCTATAAAGGAGCACCCATACGATTGTCGGCTGATTTCTTAACAGAAACCATGCAGTCCAGACGGGAATGGCAAGAAATATTCAAGGTGATGAATAGCAAGAACCTACAGCCAAAAATATTCTACCCAGCAAAGCTATCACTCAGAATCGAAGGCCAGATAAAGAGCTTCACAACTAAAAAAAGAGCTAAAGGAGTTCATCATTGCCAAACCAGAATTATATGAATTGCTGAGGGGGGTTATTTAGGAAGAGGAAGAAGATAAAGATAGAAATTATGAACAACAAACATGTAACTATCAACAAGTGAAACTAAAAACCAAGGAAATTAAAAAATCTGATGAACAATATTAACTAGTGAACATAATAGAATCAGAGGTATGGAAGGGGAGTTAACTGACGATTCTCGGGGACAAGGGGAGTGGGGGTGTGGGAAGAGACTGAACAAAAACTGTGCTCCTATGAATGAGGATAATGGGGGATGGGGAAAGGACAGAGGGTGGGGTGGAAGCCTGATGGAGGGGAGCAATTGAGGGAGAGGGAGGAAGAGGAACACATTTGTAATAATCTGAACAATAAAGATTTATTTATCGATAGGAAAAAAAAGATACCTCACTAATTTGAGCTAGCAATAATCCAAGAGATCCATGAAGATGTTAGTTTCACATCTGATTAATGTAGTAAATTACTCTTGTGAAAATTTTTAAAAATTATTTTAAATTCTTAAAAGAGACACAAAAAAATAGTTAATTTATTAACCCTACATATCAAGAGGCCTACAAAGAATTTTCAGTAGTCTGGAATGTATTTACCTTTGAAAATGTTAATAATGGCTTGTATTGGCATCTTCCTAACATTGAGAGAAATTCTAATGAATAAAATATATATTTCATAGGAGGATAAATAGTGTGAAGCTAATAATAATAATAATAATAATAATAATATAGTTAGCAGTAGTAACAATCCCAAATATATCCATGAAAACAACACTCAGAAATAGCCAGACTAACATTATAAATTTATAGGTATATGCCCAGCCACAACAACAACATAATCAAATTAACTTTTGGATTTAATAAATAGATCAAGAAATATATACTACAGGATACAAATTGTAAATTTAGCTATTTTCTTTGGGTTGCTAAAATAATCTCCCTTTACTTTCACATATCCTTCAAACATAAAATTGAATAAAGTTATCCATAAATTTTAAAATTATTACAAATGCACCCTGGCTATTGTGGCTCATTTGGTCGGAGCGTCATCCTGAAAGTGGTGGGCTCAATTCCCAGTCAGTCTCACATATGGGAGGCAACTCATAAATGTTTCTCTCTCACAGTGATATCTCACTCTCGCTCTTGCTCCCTCTTAAAGTCAATTTTTAAATATTATTACAAATGCAGTACACAAAAATTTAGATAACAACAGTTTTTAAAGTTAAACAAACCTTTAGACTGAGTATCAGACACTACAAGAGAAATGCCATCATTACCTTTTCTCTTTTCTTTGATCTGAGTAGCCCGCCTTGAACAATTCTTATCTACTGTCTTATTTGATTGAGAACCCCTGAAAAACAAAATAATAATATACTCAATTCTTTCCAACCCAAATAAATTTTGAAGCCAGCTGGCATATATTTACGACAAAAGACAGTGATTTATAAATACAGGCCCACATAGAAGAGTACATGATCTGAATAGTAAAAAAATAATGAACTAAAATTTGAGAAATTAATTCTCATCCCTGTTCTACATTTAAATTCTCCATGTTTCTTTGGGGAACAGAACACAAGACACCCACACCATAGAATTCTGCATATGCAAAATGAGCAACAGAATAATATAGGCATTAAATACATTAAATTGATTTAAAAAGTAAAAAATTTCATGAACACAAGATACTGATAACCACATCTATGTGTATTTTAAAAACTTATAAGTTGAAGGTAATGTAATTGTTAATATGTTTCAAGCATGGATCATATATCAAAGTACAAAATAAAGTTTGGAGTGTAGTAACAAATTTTACCTATTAAGGAAATAATTTAAATACAAGGTACCAGTTAAATACATAAAATATAAAATTTTTGAAAAACAAGTTTTGGAGGTATTTGAAATATCATACCTCAATATCACATTTTCAATAATGGATAAATTATCCAAACAAAAATCTACAGAGAAACATTGGAATAGAAATATACTTCAGATCAAATGGAACAGACATGCATTTGAACATACCTTCCACCAGCACCAAAATATACTCTTTTCAAGTGCACATGAAACATCCACCAGAATAAATCATATGACATGCCACAAACAATCTTAGCAAATTTAAGAAAACTGAAATCAAACCAACTACCTAATCCAATCACAATATGATAAATCAAGAAATCAATAATGGAGGAAAGCTGAAAATTTCAAATATATGGAGATACTAGAGGCCAGGTGCACAAATTCATATCTGGGTAGGGTGCCTTGGCCTGGCCGGCAATTGAGGTCTATCAGGGTCCAGTCAGGGGGAGGGACTATGGGAGGTTGGCCAGCCAGCCTCCCAGTCAGGGCCATCAATCAGAGAGACCAGCCAGCCGGGGGGAGGAACCATGGGAGGTTGGCCTGCTGGCCCTCCCATCAGGGCTGGGGGGAGGGACTTTGGGAGGTTGGCTCACCCCAATCGGGACTAATGGGGGGGGGGGGGCAGCCATGGTGAGAGGCCACAGGAGGCCAGCTGGGGGGAAGGGCAGTGGGAGGTTGGCCAGCAGAGGTGGGAGAAGCCTCAGGAGGTTGGCAGGCCAGCCTTCCCCTATGGGTCCAATCGGAGGGGCCAGCCAGCAATGAGGAGGGGCCAGCCAGCAATAGGGAGGGGCCGAGGGGGGTTGCTTGTGGGAGCACACTGACCACCAGGGCAGTGGTCATAATGATAACTTAGGCACACACACACACACACACACACACACACACACACACACACTAGAGGCCCGGTGCACAAAATTTGTGTATGGGGGGAGGGTCCACAGCCCAGCCTTCACCCTCTCCAATCCAGGACTCCTCAGGGGACATCCCTCTAACGATCCTGGACTTCTGGTTCCTAACCGCTAGCCTGCCTGCCTGCCTGATCACCCTTACTGCCCCCCTACTGGCCTGCTAGCCCCCAACTGCCCCCCCTGCCAGCCTGATTGCCCCACACAGCCTGCTGTTTGGTCATTTGGTCGCCCCTCACTAACCCCCGTGCCAGCCTGGTCTCCCCACACATCCTGCTGCTCAGACATTTGATCACCCTTCACTAATCCCCTTCTGGCCAAGTCACCCACATAGCCTGCTTCTTGGTCATTTGGTCATTGCTCACTAACCCCCTGTCAGCCAGGTCAACCCACGCTGCTTGCTGCTCAGTCGTTTGGTCATCCCTCACTAACCCCTTGCCGGACTGGTCACCCCATGCAGCCAGTTTAGATTGCAATGGTTGCTTAGACTTCACCAACCAGCAGCGTTGGAATTTGAACCCGGCACCGCACTTCCATCAGGGATGGGAGCCCGAGCCGTTCAGAGGGGCTTCTCCAGGAGCAAAGGGTCCCTGGTGGAGACCAGCGCCCACCGCGACCGCCAAACCAAGCCCACGCAACCTGACCTGACTCCCTACAATGTCCTTTTTCACAGAAAATGAACAACCCTAAAATTTATATGGAACCATAAAAAACCCCAAGTAGCCAGAGCATCTTGAGAAAGAAGAATGAAGACAAAGGAATCAAACTTCCTTATTTGAAACTATATTACAAAGCTACAGTAATAAAAATAGTATGGTATTGGTAGAAAAACAGATACAAAACAGAAAAATAAATTCACACAAAACTGCTGTTTGACTCGGTGATCCCAATTCTGGGAATATATCCTTAGAATCCCAAAATATCAATCAGAAAGAATATATGCACTCCTATGTTCCTACCAGAATTATTTACAATAGCCAAGATCTGGAAACCATGATGAACTATCACCTCACACCTGGTAGAATGGCTATTATCAAAAAGAATAAGAAATAACAAGTGTTGGTGAGGATGTAGAGGAAAGGGAATCCTTGTGCACTATTTGGTAGAAATTAAATTGTTGCATCCTCTACAAAAAAATAGTATGGAATTTCCTCAAAATATTAAAAATAAAACAACTATATTAGGCAGCAGTTCAATTACTAGATATTTATTCTTAAGAAATGAAATCACTATCTCAAAAAGATATTTATGTCCCCGCTCACAGCAGCATTATTTACAAAACACACACAAAAACCATAACTGTTCATCAATAGATAAATGGATAAATAAAATGTGATATATATGCACAATGGAATATTATCCATGGTTGGACCTTGAGGGCATTATACTAAGTGAAATAAGTCTGACACAGAAAGACAAATACTATCTGATCTCACACATATGTGGAATCTAAAAGAAACAAAAAACACCTAGATATAGACAACAGATTAGTGGTTGCCAAAACTAGAGGGGATGTGGGGGGAGAAGGGGTGCAAAATAGCTGAAGATGGTAAAAAGGCACAAGTTTCCATAAGTGTGTAAAGTGTACTCGAAAGTTACTAAGGCGCGATGCACGGAATTCATGCACGAGGTGGGTATTCCTCAGCCCAGCCTGCACCCTCTCTAATCTGGGACCCCTTAGGGGATGTCTTGACTGCCAAGTTAGGCCCGATCCTAAACTAGCAATCAGACATCTCTCTCACAATCCAGGACTACTGGCTCCAAACTGCTCGCCTGCCTGCCTGCCTGCCTGCCTGCCTGATTGCCCTAACTGCTTCTGCCTGCCAGCCTGATCACCCCTTAACCACTTCCCTGACAGCCTGATCGATGCCTAACTACTCTCATGCTGGCCCTCCCCTGCTGGCCTGGTCACCCCTAACTGTCCTCCTCTGCAGGCCTGGTCATCCCTCACTCCTTCCTGTACAGGTCCAGTCACTCCCAACTGCCCTCCCCTGCTGGCTTAGTCGCCCCCAATTGCTCTCGCCTGCTGACCTGGTCGTCCCCAACTTCCCTCCCCTGCCGGCCTAATCATCCCTAACTGCCCTCCCCTGCAGGCCTGGTCGCCCCTAACTGTCCTTCCCTGCTGGCCTGGTTGCCCATAACTACCCTCCCCTGGAGACCTGGTCGCTCCCAACTGCCCTCCCTCTTCTGCAGGCTCAGTCACCCCCAACTGCCCTCCCCTGCCAGCCATAGTGTGGCAGCCATCTTATGTGAGGGAATTAGGGTTAATTTGCATATTACCTCTCTATTATATAGAATAATAAATTTTGTTGTATATCTAAAGCTAATACAATATGATCTATCAGTAATCTACCAATTAAACTCACTAATTAACTTTTTTAAATAAAGTGATATAAACCACCGGGAAATCATTATATTGCTATTTCAAATAAACAAAGAATGATTAAATCTTTACACATCATACTTTCTCCCATGATAATTACTTATGAAAAAACTAATTATCATATTATTTAAGTGGGTAAAATTTTTGAAATAAGAAACTACATAAAATTAACATAAAACATTCCTCTATAATAAAACATATAGTAATTACTACATTTTCAAAACTGTTTCAACCTAGAAATTTTTACAATACCACTTATAAAAGCATTAAAAAATCAGATACCAAAAGTTAATCAAAATTTTTGTACAGTAAATTATAAAACACATACCAAGTACCTCCGGAAAATTATGGATAAGGAAGCATCTATCATTCCCATCTAGCTAACATTTGCACTGCAAAATTCGTCTGATGTAACTATTTTGGAACTCTAAGAGTCTATTAAAGGCTTGCAACTTCTAGTCAAAAGTTTTGACAAAAATTTCAGTTAATTTCGGTCAACTTCAGGTCTTAAATTGGTAGTAGCTAACCAACCTTCCCACACCCTGAGCTCCAAGGCAATCAGTTATAACCAAGCTCCTAGAACATTTTGCATGGGCTTTCAAATGGGACAGTAAGCAGTCTTGACAAGGTCCTCCAAAAACTGCAAATCTGTACTCTGATCACTGACAGAGCAAATAGACAGCAATTATTGCAAAATCCACCTCTCTTGTTGCAACACTCTCCATCCAACTAAAATGACTTCCAGAAGATTTAAAGGGCTAGCACCTATTCTCACTCTTCCGCCCTAACCCCTTCATTTTTTTTCTTCTTTCCTTTTTTTTTGGAAACTAAATGCATAAGGACTAGAACAAAAAAAAAGCAATCACAGCTGAAACCGGTTTGGCTCAGTGGATAGAGCATCAGTCTGCGGACTGGAAGGTCCCGGGTTCAATTCCAGTCAAGGGCATGTACCTCGGTTGCGGGCACATCCCCAGTAGGGGCTGTGCAAGAGGCAGCTGATGGATGATTCTCTCTCATTGATGTTTCTAACTCTCTATCCCTCTCTTTCCTCTCTGTGAAAAATCAATATATTAAAAAAAAAAAGCAATAACAAATACAAGATAATTCAGAAGTCATGACCAAGTAAAGACGCAGACTTAGAAATGACCTAAAAAAAAAAAAAAAAAGAAATGACCTGGGACCTTATGTTTACACACAACAGAGACA